AATTAAATTTACTATTATTGTACTTGCACCTACTATATAAAACTAGTTAATTTAGTTACTATTCACCATCTTAATATTTTACCAGAATAATGGTTAAAAGCTTCATAAATAATAGTAAAATTTTTATGCTGGTTGGCATCACTATGGCTATGTGGTTGTTATTACTAATATTATAGTGATAATTACTATAAAAATGATATTCCTGACTATAATTATTTTACTATGCAATTATAGTCGCAAATACTACGCACTTTTCTCTCAGTGTGGGAGAGACACGGAGAGACAGAAAGAGACAGGGAGGGGGGGGGAGAGGGGAGGGAATAATTTTGATTATTAATCTCTAATAAGTACCGTCCGGTGAAACGATAAGCTCGCCCGCGGGATGTCGGGGTGTTGGCTAGTCGCACGCTGCTGAACGTGCGCATACTATCCCTGGCTGTTTTCTTCTCCTCAGGAATGACTGAGGTAACGAACAGTCGGCAGTCTAATTACTTAAGCGAGGCAGTCTTGCAGTCAAGCGCAGGAAACGCGCTCGCCGAGAGAAGAGCCTCCTCGCGCTCCCCAGACTCCTCCGGGCTCTCTTCTCATTCTCGCCCTTCCCACTTACGGTAATCCCTCTCCAAAGACTCGAGGGTAAAACCAATAATGCTTAAGGCGCCCTTCTCCCCCGAGCCGAGCGCAACCCCAAAAGTACCTCGGCGGAGCAGCCGGCGACGTGCAGCCTCGGAGAAACACTAATTTCCTTGTCCCACTCTTAGAGATAGACGTCAGCTCGTAGCTCGGTCTGTCAGTTTAATTGCATTTTTTTTCCTCGCTGCACAATCGTGCACGCGCGCGCGCGCGGACGCGACTGCGTAACGACGTGACATTTACATTGCTAATTAGCTCGGTCGTTACATCGGAAAACACGCCGAGCGATTTAAACAAACATTACTGATTAGCCATTTGCGTATGAATAATTTTTCTCTGTAAAATACAAGGCGAGACTCGACCTATCGGCGTCGCGAGGGCGAAAAAGTGTATCGTTAGAATTCACGCCGCGCATCGATACAAAGGATAAAGTTATAAGATCGCTCGTCCATCGGCGATCGACCGCACTACTAATTTTCTCGTTCTATTCCTGAGATAGATGTCAGCTACTGGCCTCCAGTTTCTCCTCCGGGCGATTCTCGCGTAACGAATAGCCGCCGCTATTCCAGCGATCGCCCTTTCAGTCCGCTGCTCGACTTGCCCGTCACGTTGCTTTTAATTACATCCGTATCGGCAGAAACGCGAAGGAGGCGCAGCGGAGAATAAAAAGGGGCAGCGGTGTCTTGAATTCGTTAAAAATGATCTGTAAATTAGTAGGATTCCGCGCGGAGCAAATGACCGGCGATCGTGTCCGGAGAGCGAATTGCGCTGCGCTCCGCGTGCACGTGAAATTTCAAGTGGTTTCTTTCTTTTTTTCTTTTCTTTCTTTTTTATTACGAAACAGTTCTACGGCAGCGAACGCAGCGTGACAAGATATGCGTCGCGAAAATTGACGACGAAACATTTTGGACAAATACAAATGTACTCGCCTGGTTTTCAACCGGTTCCGCGGATTATCGTATACCCGAGGCGAGAAACCTGAATGTAGAAAGTTGGACTGCAATTTCATTTGACAGAATTAGAAAGTGCGAAGAACAATACGACGCGGGGATATTTTCAGAATTCCAGTCGTAGGCCAATAATGATCGTAAACTTCTCAAAACGGCTTTCGCTCGGGCGCCTTTCTTCCTTTACCGCGGATCCTTTGCGTTTCAAACGCCGCTCGTGACGCGATAATTATAGCGTTTACGAACGAGGCTCTCCGTATAGAGCGTGTCAACGACACAATGAGAGTCGGCAATCATCCTGGCTGATGCACCCAGACGAGTAAAGGGGGGGGAAAGGGGGGGGGGGGTTAGTTGCGCTTCGATTCTCGCATTCAGAGATAGGCCACGCGCGATTAAATGACCGTAGGCGAGGTGAGTCGTGTAGCCGAGAGTTGCATCGCTCCCGATACGTGTGGCAATCTACACTCGCTCGGCAAAGTGCCGGCTTGATCTCTTTCAACGTCAACATCATCGGCAGATACGAAGCATCGCCGGAAGGGAAAACAGCTAGGACAAAGCTGAGAGCGTGTCGATGTTGTCCCCGCGCGATTTATCGGACGATCCGCGCGAGCGCTCGATGTGCGAAAAGAGTTGCCCGGTGAGGAGCCTACTTGTTGGTTTGTACATTAGGTATTCATGACCACAGGCGGTCCTCTCCTTCTCCTTCCTCTTCCTCCTTCCGTCGACCGATGTCGTCCGGCGATTACGGCGGTGGACTAGCATTGACAGCGTAATGATAAGCCTTCGTCGCGCAAAAGACGGGCAATAAGCGATTATTACATTTTAACGATGCACACCTGATCGGGATTTGTAGGAGGAAACGGCCGTCTCTCGCGGTCACGCAATTGCGAATGTAATTTCGACAATCTCTGGCTCGTTATTATTGCAGACGGGACGTTGAGGAAGACAATTTATTGATCACTTTGTGCCGAGCAATGTCGCAGATGTAAAGCCACGCGTTTTAATTGAGAGAAAACAAAATCCCGTTCACCTTCGCCGCAGACATTACCAGGTTGCCCGGTGACGGGTGCATCGCGTTGAATCAGCGCGAAATTTATCACCGATAATTATGATATTCTCGTTCAGAGGCAACGAGTTGATACGTTAATAGAATGATACGAAGGAAGAGGACGCCGTCGTTAAGTCGTTAAGGCCATTGCCTCGATGCAATGGCGAAGACGCACTTCATTCAATTTTCGCCCATTAACCGCGCGAGCTCTCGACGGCGGTCCTGGCCATGCAAATAAAAGTGCAACGTTCTCCAACGCGGCCGCAGTGATGTAACTGAGTTAAGATGTCGACTCCAGGGGCTCGATTCTTGAAATCATCCGATAGAGAAACGTAATTCGGCTCTCGCGGAAAAGTTGAATGTCGATTGGTCGAAAGCCGTGCGAGTAGCCAATTAACTTGCAACTTTTCTGTAAGAAATTCAAGAATCGAGCCCCAGGACGATACTTTCGCAAGGCGGACTGTTTCACTTTAATCCGTTCTTTCCGTCTACGATCTGCGGTTCATCTTCACGTTCTTTCACGACATTCTAGAAATACTTGTAAGCGTCCGATAGTAAAATGTATGGTGAACTTTTCAAAAATTCCCGCGAAATTCTTCCGAAATCCCACGTCGCCCCACGATTACACGAGGTTCAGGATAAATTGGAAAAAAAAACGTTCTCTCCGCGGAGGCAGCAAACGACTCGGAGTGCGTTACAACGTAGGGAACGCGAAGCATGTCGGATAACGACGGCAGAAGCATCGAAATGAACACAAGGATTAGCCGATCAAGCGTCGCGGAATCAGAATGGAACGATCGGGCGATCGGCGCGCGGCGCGCGGACAGCCTGATCGACCTGTCCTTTCCGTGAATCTGATCGTCCCGTCCTTGTCCGCGTATGTGCGCCGGGATATGTAGGAAAGGAACGAGCCGCGAGAGCGGAGCCGCTTGAGTTATGACTACGGCCATTACTTGGGACAAACGAGGCTAAGCGTGTCGACACACGGGTTAGCCGTGCGGGCAGGTCTCCTCGATTCTCCCGAGTCGTTCTCGACTCTCGAGAATTACGAGTGCTCTCTCTCTCTCTCTCTGTCTCTGTCTCTCGAGCCGCGGGCCCGATTGACAGTTTTAAGGCCCGACGTTGACTCCGCGTCGGCATGGCACTCGTTATCCAGGACGCGGATTCCGCATAGGCGCTTTATGTATTTCCTACGCTCGCCGCGAGCAGATATACGATATCGCGAGCGGCATAGCGATACCCTGTAACCCACATTTTCGAATTGTTTATGTCGCAAGGTTTTTGCGATCGGAACGGTCGGCCTCCGCCGCGTGCACCGACGGTATTTCAGAGGCACAGCCTGGAGTGTAGAACGAAGCGCGACGAAAAAGGTGGTTTATGACAGCGCGTTCTGCCTGCATAAGGTGGATATTAATCCTCTCTTTTAAACTGAAAAACTTGCACGCCGAGTAAAATTCCGCGCGCGCGTAAAGGAAACGGACTGAAATAGCGAAGCGAATCCCGAGCGGTCGGCTCGAGGGGCGCGCGAACGGTGGACATACTTTTAAATGTCCTTACGCGAAAGAAATGGTGTCTCTCGGAGTAATCATGGCGCTCAATGCGTTCTCAAAGCTGCAAGTTAATCCATATTAATTCATCTACGTAACTGTACAGTGCGTATCACAAGAAGGTGAAGGTCGTCTTACATTTCGATGGATCAATCTGATTGCAAACCACCGGGCATCCGTACGCGTCATTGAGATATCGATTTAATCGCAGATACGCCTGCGATCGGGGCTTATACAATAAGCGTATTAACGGCTTCGTTCAGAAAAGCTCACGTTCCCCGATGCCATTTCGCCATTAGCCCCGTCTAGCCCGAGTACGGCTCGTAGCTGGGTGGGTCGTTACTTACTTCGTCCTGAGAACAAAAAAGAAAAAACACACCGATTAAAACTCCTGCCCAACTCCGGACAATTTCATCAAATACACATTTTCATCTTTATCATTTGCACCCTCGTGCACACAACGTCGCCCTTACATCAACACACCTTATACATAGACATTGTTAACGCAGACGTAGACTTGATACGTTTGCTGTCGTCGCGACTGAGCGAGCTCTGAAGATTCGACATAATTGCGGAGTGAAACGCGCGTCCTTACTGAAACTTGAGTCTTTTATCTTGTCGAATACGGCACGGCGAACGGTACTCGTGACCGACGTTTCGGATTTTTCGTCTGCCTGAGATTTTGTATTATATAAATATCGCTTGTTACGCGCGGCTTCCCACCGTGGCTGGCTGGGACTCTCACGGGGTCTTCGTTAAGGTGTTCCCAAGTTAACCCGTAGAACTGTACGAAAAGTAACCACTGGATCCGTGGCTATATCCATAACCATAAATAATGATCGCTGATTGGTCACTCGTTATTGGTCGATCGTTACTCGAGTGTACGTGACTGCGTTTACGTTTCCACGGGTCGTTAACTCGTTTCCATTAAGGCGCGGTCTTGTCTGCCTCTTTTCCTTTATCGCCGTTTCTTTCCGTCCCTTTTCCTCGCGTACGTTCCTTCACCCCGGTTAACTATCATCCGATTTTAGACGCGCGGCATGTGTATCTTTACATTACGGCGATTAAGCGACCAGTATTTCTTAAACGACTCCTCGGTACAAGACACCCCAATTCGCCATGTCTTCGAACTGTAAAAATATTTCCCGAACGCAATTGTTATCGCTATACGTTTCTATCGCGACAGATTGCGAAAGTCGCCGAACGGTTATTCGAAACTCCGAATTTTTGAGATGTATATACTTTAAAGATTTGTGTCGGACTCTTTAAAAAAATTGAAATTTGACGCGAGATCGTAATCACGTGCCCTTTTTCACGACGGATTTAGCATGAAATAATTATTCAAACATTTGGAAAGATGTATATTTTAAAAGATTTATTATAGACTTAAAATTTTTTTAATTTAAAAGTTTTCAAAATTTTTTAATTTCGCACCGGATCGCGAAAGTATCGGGCGTTCAGTATTTGAGTACAGCAGGATGTATCCTTTGGATATTAATCCTCTCGCGAGGGATGTGCAGCTCGCGATAATAAACATCAAAAATTACGAGCGGAAGACATTCGCGAGTAAATGCGTAGCTCGAAGAGACGATTAATAGCTTCATTGCATCCCATCGTCGTCGATGCAGAAGTACCGGTTTCACCGACGAAAGACCGCCCCCTTTCTTATCCCTCTCGTCCCTCGTATTTGCTTTCGATCTTTCTCCTCCTCCTTGACATCGTCACCTATTCTCTTCGCGAGGCGATTAAGCACCGTAATAAGCGACGATCAATTCTCTACAGTCCTTAACACACTCGCCAGGCGTAATCTACACTGACTTTTCGTTTACGCTAATCGAATTCTTTTATACTAATTGGACACTGAAAAAAATTTCTGGTTGAATATGAACGAATCAGATAATTCCTTTAGGATTTACCAGAATTCCTTTAGGATTTACCAGAATTCCTGTAATCCTACAGAAATTCTGGTAAATCCTAAAGGAATTATCTGATTCGTCCATATTCAACCAGAAATTTTTTTCAGTGTCCAATTAGTATAAAAGAATTCGATTAGCGTAAACGAAAAGTCAGTGTAGATTACGCCTGTAATTCCTGTAATCCTACAGAAATTCTGGTAAATCCTAAAGGAATTCTGGTAAATCCTAAAGGAATTATCTGATTCGTCCATATTCAACCAGAAATTTTTTTCAGTGGAGGAACAATGAAACATTTAATTTATAGTGGTAAAAATCGACAGTTTCGACAGTTCTGTGTACGGTCGACAACTCGGACCGGCGCGTAGTTCTAGTCGAAAATTGTACGCGAAGATGTCATCATTAATACTGTTTATTGCAATAAAGGTGAGACGCTGGTGTGAGACGCCCGCCTAGAGTGTAGGGAAGTCAAACCAGGTTCAAACCCTGGCTGAGGTAATATTTTTCGCAATAAATTTCTTTAATTAGAATTTGCCAGCTTGCGTCGTTTAGCACTTTTTCTCAGAGTTGGGAAAGTTACTTTATAAAAGTATCTAGTTACAGTTACAGTTTTTTCGCTAAAAATGTAACTAGTTACAGTTACAAGTTACTAATTATAAAAAGTAACGCGTTACAGTTACCCAAAAAGTAACGAATTGTTACTTTGCAATTATAACTTTCTTGCAATGAAAATAAAAATATTAAATCTGTAGTTGAATTATAATATAAAGTGTTGATAAAGCCCGGATAGCACAAAGTATTGATGTAGTGTTGGGAAATAATGTAAATGCAATACCGTACAATTATTGATACGTAACATTGGCGTTACATTAGCCTTTATTCTATATTCAATATTACAATTTTATTGGGCAATCTTGCTGTACAGTCTAATATAGTTTGCCAGCCAATTTTTATATTTAGCAGTTATACGTGTAATTTCTATTTCAGCATTTTACTTTTTATTCTATTGCCGTGTGTAAGTCTCATGATAATGGTATACGTATTCAGCGTAGACATCTGCGGGATGCCAAACGAAGGAGATTGGTTTTTGGTTCGTGTCGCTACGTCGATTTTTCGCCGAGTTATAGCGTTTTAAAAATCGGGCGCGCGCGCACCATTCATTTGCGAAGGCCACGCGAATTTTACGCGAGTAGTACGCGAGCGTACTACGTCCCCAAAAAACTGGCATAAAAACATACGAGGCGCAGCTGTTCGGTAGTAAACATCGCCGCGCGAGACGCCGCATATACGCGCCGTCTGCTGTTTCTGAATGAGGATTAAGATCGCGAGTCGATATAATCGTCAATAACTTCGCATAGAAAAATCGTAGCGAGATGATCTTGGTCTCGTTGGAAAGCTAAGATTCCAGCGCTTCTAACGAGACGAGAATGGCTTATCTCGGATTATCAGTTTACGAGGCATTATTGATAAATTCCGATAAAATTGATTTTGTCCCAAGATCGAGAGTGCGAATTAATCTTTCGAATGGATGAATCTCTCTCACATCGTGCATTAAATAGCAACACTAATTTATATTCATTCAATTTTCATTTTTCTATATATACACATACTCTGGGGAAAAAAAAGACAGTTGTAACCCATTTTGGGGCCCACCATTAGTAATCGAATTATTTGGATTGCTCGTAACTCTACTCTGGGAAAAATTTTGACCGTTTTTTGAAGTAGTTAAGTAACTTAACATTTCGGTTATTGCCACTTAAGTGAAAAATATCTTTGCGTTACTGAATATCGACAGAACTAATTGAGAGAATTGATTAGTATTACTTTAATATCTTGGATGTAGATAGAACAGCTAATTGTGATTTTTAGTTACGCGGGATAAAATTCGTAAAAGATTAGAGTTACGAACAATCTAAATAATTCGATTACTAATTGTGGGCCCCAAAATGGCTTGTAACTGACTTTTTTTTCCCCAGAGTATGTAATTGCACAGCTTCCTGTTGATAATCCCCTCCTCGGGTACTACCTTGTCGTGGTGGAGGGGCTTAAGTACCCTGAAGGGTTACTCTCTAAAAATCACTCGGTGGTTTATTACTGAAAACAATGAATGTTCACTGATTTACAGTAATGATGCACTGATTAATTTTTAGAGAGTACAGACTCTAAAGACGGGACAACCAAAGGTACCCATCGCGTTCGGGAGTGCCGTATAGTATTCGCAAAACGTGTCGCGATGAGATTCGACTCAAAATTCTGACCAACATTTGTACGATTCCGTTAATAAGAGAAAAGTTTTTGTAACTCGGTAACAGAAGTCCTTTCTGAGGGTGCGAGCATCGTTTAAGGAAGCAATTATCGTCCTGAGCAAGTGGATTTCAAGTTAGCTCGCGCTCTGATCTCGGCTTTGATTTCTTCGACGTACAGATCGCGATCGCGCGATGATATCGTTCACAAAATACAACACGACCGAGCGCGGATTCCAAGAAACACGTAGCGTCACAGCCCGAGCTTTGATTCCAGGCAATGATCGTTGCGGCGTAAACAGCTCGGTCGCCGAGCGCCGGTAAACAAAAACTTACATACCGCTGTGAACGTAATCACCTCGTGACCGTGACCTCGGTCGAAAACGGTCTCTATTGTGTCGCATCATTCGGCGCGTATCAGTCGACCGAGTCGGATGTTCCGTCCCGCGTGTCTTCGCGTCGCTTTTCGTAACGCGATCGTCTCGTGCGAGAACTAATTGTCGTGATCATATTCGTTGATCTCTACGGTGCGTCGAGACGAATATCGCGGGTGCTTTGAAGAGAAAGCGATAAGTGAATTACATAGAGAAATTATTAGTTCCGATACTTACATCCACGAGTGACAGTGCCTTTTTTTCAATGATCGAACTGGAATGAATCTCTTTTGCGTAGTGCTTGAAAATTTTCGTCGGTTCAAGTGAAACATTTATCGCTTTCAGAAAGCGCTTTGAAAAGCGCGAGATAGTACACGAATCGTCGGATAATATAATAACGAACACTTGTAATCGATCGCGTACCAAGAAATAATCTCCTTAACAATTAAACATACAAAAGTGCGCGTAAAATTTCCATTTTCGTCGCGTTCGGGAGTGCCGTTTAAAATAATTGGACTAAAGACTTTTCAAAGCTCATTTGAAAAGCAAGTATTTGTCAAACGTCCGTTCCTGTCGATCACTTTCGAGATTTGGCAGTTTTTCGTATAATACTCGCCGACTCGAAGTGGAGGCGAACTTGACGGAACAAGGTACATGCTTTCACATGGTGTGCTTTACGGGAGTGTAAAATCGCGCGAACGATCTTTGTGCCTTTGCGAGTGTGCCAGAGGACCAATCTGAGAGGAGGAGCAGGCCTGGAAACGGCATCAGGCACCGGCGGAGCAACTTTAAGGTAAATGTCATTTTTCATTTTGTGTAAAAG